CCTGAATACTACTATGGGGTCGGGGGAGAGGAATCACAAAGGAAATTTCCAAACTTGTAAAAATTCTGTAAAGCCAAAACACATTTTAATATTACGAAAACATATTTGAGAACAAAAGACATATTATACCTAGTTCATGTGACCCCCCCCCCCCCAAGTAAACTCACTATATCTGTAACCCTGCATTGGTATACCCTGGGAAATAACAAGGCAAGGTCAAGGCTAAGCTAATGAATCCCAAAGTAACTGCACAGACAGAATAAAGAAAGACAATGGCATCATCCTTGCTGTTTGATCGTTGAAGTAGGCGTTGAATTTAAATTTTAATGACCTTTAAAAAAAGGAAGAAAGTTGTTGATGAAGTCAAAAGTTCGAAACGGCGGTATAAAAAACGACCTTGAGACTGTAATGTTTCAATTTAGAGAAGAACGAGTGTTTCATTCAATCTGTCCCTTTTAAATATTTTACTGCTAACAAAGATTGTTGCTAATTCGAAACCCAGTATTCGTTTTTCCTGTTCGACTTCATTTCTTTCGTCTTTTGTTGTCTCTATCTTTCTTTCTTTTCCCCTCCCCTCGTTCTTTCCTTGTTTCTATAACACCAGAGGTGTGTATGTGAGAGGTAAGATCTCCCAGTTGTGCGTAAACTGAGTTTGGCATTGAACAAACAACAACCCCCTAAAAAACCCAACCAACCAACCAACCAACCAAACAAACAAACAAATAAAAAAGAAAAACCAAAACCGACAAAAAACTACAACTCCTGCCAGAATGAAAACCATATTAAGAGTAGTTCTGATTTTGATTCTGGATGTTTGTATTTTTTAAAGGGGAACAATTTCAAAGGCAATCACCTGGTCATCTTTGCACTAATTTCAACATTTCTGAACAAAAACCCCCAGAACAAACAACAAAACCACCCCAAAGAATAAAGAAACCCTCTCACCAAAAAAAAAGTTCAATTGTTAGCAAATAGACATAGCTAGATACATTTTTGAAAATTCAACCAAGATGATAACAAATTAATTGTTAAAATGAAGGAAATCAACTTTTGTGTTTCAAAAAAAAAAGTCAAGTTTAAATTGCAACCAAAATTGAGTAAACTGCTATACCTCACACATTATTTTAAATTATCAGCCATAAAGTGTACTTTGCTCATGTAAAGAATATATTAATTTAAATCTGATATTGCCAAACGAACGCTGAAGGTGGTGGCTATTTAAACTTTATTATTAATTATGCTCTAAGTGTTGATCATTTCTCTCCAGACATGCCCAGAGACGTCGGTAGCAATTTTGAATAGCCCTTGGTGCGTTTCTGGGTCGATTCTTCTATGGTGAATTCTTAAGAACGAGTAAAGCGTTCGGTGTTACTCAAAAGACACTCAGTTTCCTAATTAAAGGTAACAAACAAAGACTCAATAAAATATTTCCCCTTGATCCGAACGGGTTTTCTTAAACCACAAAATATGTCTGTGCTCAGACCTGTGAAGGAAAATGGCGGGAAGAGATAGACCTGACGTTTACCTCTGGTCTTTTGATTGATGTCCACTCTCACGCTGTCTGTCTTCCGCCGGCGTCCTTTGCTCTGTTGTTTGAGCCGGTCGTTGCTTTGGTAACCGGTGACGTCAGAACTTCGGGTGGGAGATGAGTCACCATACTCCGCTGTATCAGGGTCAGGGAAAGTATGCATAAATGAATAGAGTAATAGAACTGCAGTTAACAAAAGGATAAATTGATACACCAATGAATTTAAGACACCTACAGATAGATAAGAAAATGAACAAAATATACACTTGTAAATAATATCCTCGAGTACGTTTAAGTATATATACTCGCCCGTATGTGTGTGCCTGAGTGTACAGATCCAACTCTATGTTCAATACTCACATCTAGGATTCCTCCTGTGGCCCTTCTTCCCGCCATTCTCAGGCCCCCCTCCAGGCAGCGGCCGCTTGCTGGTCATCTCTAGAGGGACCATCTCCTCGCCACAAGCCAGGAAATTCTCGTGGTCTGCGAAATCTCTGATCAGCTGACTGTAGCTCTCCACCTGTAGACAGGGGTGTGAAAGAAGGGTCAGAGATAACGCCGGTGTAATATAATAATGCATGAGAAATAAGTATGCTCTTACTTTATTTGACACCGGTGTGTGTATGTGTGTGTGTGTGTGTGTGTGTGTGTGTGT